TCTCCCGCGGGGTGCCAGGGAGGGACCCCCCGAGCGCTGCCGGGCAGCTCCTCCCCACACAGGGAGCCGGCGCGCTGCGGCAGCCTGGCTGTGAGGTGTAACTCGTCTTTCCAGTAAGCGATGATGAATATGCAGAGCGCGTCTTTTATCCTGCTAAGCCTGGAATCGAGCGCAATTTCAAAATGTCATTTGGTAAAACCGGAACTGACCGCACCTGGGGCACGGCAGCGGCCCTCGCTCGGGGCTGGGACCCGCATCCGGCGAGTGGGCTGGCACGGAGGGGGTCCCACGGGACTTGCAAGGGCCCAGAGGAAACTCTTCTCCACCCCCCCCTTTTTTTCCTTTTCCTACTCTGCCCTGGAGTCCAAGGCTGCAAAACTCCTTGCATGGTTCTGGGGTTGGTTTGTTTGTTTGTCTTAGTGGCAATTTAAGATGATTCATGCTCCTGGATCCAGCGCTGAGTCAGCTGATGTGCTTCTGCCGGGAGAGTCGCTACATGGATCAGTGGGTGCCAGTGATTAACCTCCCGGAGCGGTGACTGCGCCGGGATGAAAACGAACTGAACCGAATTGCACTGAAGTTTTGCAATACTTTAGCAGTTGCTCAGGAAGTAACTCCCTGCCCTGGCACAAGGATTACAGGGGAGGGGGGAAGGAGGAAAAAAAAAAAAAAAAAAAAAAAAAACAAAAAAAACACCCAAGGAAAAAAAAAAAGATAAAACTGATGTCAAGGGGGTAGGCTGAAGTTGAACTACATCTTGTGTGGGAGTGAAGATAAGTGACTCCAAAGCGATGGGGATGAGTGTGGAAGCGAAGGGAAGCGCAGCGCCAGAAGAATGAGCCCTGCCTGACGCGGGGGTGCCGCACGGCTGGGGTACTCATGGAAAACGCCCAACACCCTTCACGGTTTTTGTAAAGTGCAACTTACAGTTTCTGGTTTAAATACCTTAAAGAGCAAAAAAGTTAATCGAAACATTTTACAAACAATTTTATTGTATTTCTGGGATGTTAATTCTCAAGTTTTTATGCTAAGATATATAATAAGTAAGTTATTTTATGATATTGATGAAAAAATTATTTATACTTGGAGGTTTGAGAATCAGAGTGCCCTTAAGCGGTTGGTCTGCAACCACACATCTTTGAACAGTTGGCTGTTAAAAGCAGCTACATTAATATAATTGTTTGAAATTGCATAGTGTTTTGGTTTTCGGGTTTTTGGTTTTGGCTTTTTTTTCTTTTTTTTTTTTTTTTTTTTTTTGAAATAAAGTTTAAACTCCAACCCTTCGTCCTGGGTTTTATTGGCTTACCCTGTTCATTAGCACAGTCAAAAAGACTCCTTTGGCAGCTGCTTCCTTGTCCTGGCCATGGGCAAAGTCCTGTTGTGCTGGTCCTGTGTGGGTTTAGTCCTAGCTCCTCCCACACCATTAAATGAAGAAGCAGCTGATGTGCTGCAGGAAATGTTGGAAATGTTATTTATTTTTCTTGAATACTGCTGTTTACCAACAGTTTGGGGGGGGGGAGGGGGGGAAGAAACAGCATTATTTTTGAGGCTCTAACACTCCTGCAGAGCCCAAGTCTTGGAAGGTGGGGGAAACCTGATTCTTTGGAGGAAAACTTGGCCTGATGTTTTGTTTCCCGGGAAGGTGTCGCTCCGAGTGTTGCACCACAAACTGCTGCAAACCCTCCTGGGTTTGTTCCCTGTGCCCCTCCAGCACTGCCCCTACACCCTGGGGTTAGGGAGTTTCTGTGCCAGGCTCCTCTCTTAATCACACGTGCACACTGGCACACAAAAAGCTGTATTCCATGTGGCAGAAATCTCTCTCCAGGCCCCGAGAGAGCAGGAAAACAGCCTCCCTCACACCCACGACACTTGCTGCTGGCAAGAGCCCTGTGCCACCCACGCTCCCGCAACCGCGCTGCCTGGGGCAGGCCGCAGGGATGCTGGTGACCTACATCGGGGCTTCCCTAATTTGCACCTTTGTGCTGCACCCCGGCACGCTGCCTTGCGGCACCTGGCTTGGATGCTTGGACCCCATGGCCTTCGCGTGCACCCCAGCAGTGGCAGCAGGGGGGGGGTCACTTTGGCCCCAGCTCCATTGCCCTGCTGCTTCTGGCAGGTGCCAGCCCAGCCCGGTGGCGAGGCCGGACCAGTTCTCCTGCTCTCCGGATGCACAAGGATGGCATGCTCCGGCACGAGGCCGCCCGTCCCCATCCTGCACGGTGCTGCAAGGCCACGTCACCCACCCTGCAGCAGCCTCGCACTGTGTCCAGCACGTAGCTCAGGCTGGGGCAGGCACCATCCTCAGCCCCTGGGGACATGGGATGGCTGCAGGAGCAGAACTGCGCAGGAGCAGCACGGCCATCAGCCCAGGGTGGCACGCAGGGCTCCTGACCACGGGCACCTCGCCCAGGAGTTGTGCTTGCTGCCCACCCACAAGCACGTGCCCGAGGAAAAAACACAGCAAGCCCCAGCAGCAGCCACCATGGAGGAGGCTGGGTCAGGCTCAGACACGGTAGCTTGCACAAAATGGGAGTTTTCTGAACACAGTAGTTTTAGCTTCATTACTACAGCATGCATTCAGCATCAGCATTTCAAAAGCAAATGCGCTCCCAGGAGTTGCCTCCATTCGCACGTATTTTAAAGAAAAAAAAAAAAAAAGCCCTCTTTCTGTTGCATGTTAACTTTAGCAGCACAAATGTAAGATATTGAAGAAAAAAAGTTTAACCATGTCTAACACATGCAAATCCGGCCCTGGGGATCTCCTACCCTCCTTTGCTGTTGGACACCAGATGCTCTGTTGCTCTTCCCTAAGTGTGTAATGGAGGGTGGGTGGATCAATCACATTTTTGGAATTAAAACTAATTGCAAACATTTGCACTTTCATTGAGTTCAACCTTGAGCAGAAGCCCCTGGACCCCTAGTTTCTCCTGATGTCTCCCCCAGCCCCTATCTCCACGTTACAAACTGCCTGGCCAGGACCCAGGGGTGGCTCCGGGTGCATATGGCCCAGCACGTGCCCACGTATCCAAACGCTCTTTTTTCCCCAAAACCAGCCAAGTCTAGGGTAGGGTGTCCTGTTTGGCCTCGTGCCAAGCCTACCCAAAACCACCCAGGCGAGAGGGGCCCCGACCCCTTGAGCAGCTGCAGCCAGGAACAGCAAAGCCAGACCGGAGCCCAGCAGTGCCCACCCGTTGGGGAAGCACCGGCTGCCAGAAAGGCGGGAAGGGCGCCAGGAGAGGCGGGAAGGGCGTACAGTGTGTATCGGGAAGGACGTCAATTCCGATAACCAGCCAAAAAGAGGAGTAAGCGGCAGCTGCACGCGACGATGGGACATCTTCCGGACTCCAGAGCAGGGCCTGGAGAGCTGCACTTGAGATCCTGCTCTGCCCTCCGATCACTGCACCCCTCATTTAAAATGGGCGCTGGGTTGGGACTTAATTGCACTGCAGCCTCAATCCTAAAAACCATCAAGAGAAGAGCGACAAGTTCAAGCAAAATCTGATCATTTCTGGCAAAGCGCAGTGCAAGGAGCAGCCCGGCCGGCCTGCCAGCTCCCCAGGCAGTGGCTGCACCTCGCACAGGGGACCGCAGCCCCCAGGGAACAGCCCCAGGGAGGGGCAACCGCGCGTTGGGGACAAAAGAGATGGAAAGTAATTAAGAAAAAAGAAAAAAATCCACCCCCCACCAGAACGAAGGCTTTATCAAGGGTCTTTAATAAATCTAAACTTTTTTTTTTTTGTTTTAATAAGGAACACTCAGCTTCTGTTGCTGCTCCAGGGCAGAGATGTCCTGCAGCTCTCACACCCCCCATGGCTATGCTCATCCAATAACCACCCCCCCCCTCCACCAACACCCAATGCAGAATTGTGAGGAGATCTTGTGAGGTCTCCTTTTTTCCCCCCTTTTCGCCCCATCAGTTTGATTGAACAGGTCCTACCTGAGACAAGATTTAAACATGACCTGCAACCATACTTGAGGGTCTTGGTACGTGCACCCTGGCCATCCCACCTGGGGGCTGCAGAAAACCTGTCCTCCTGACAGCCAGGTTCTTTTGGGGACCCTTGGCAGATTAGGAGGGGTCAGGAGCAGGGGGTACCTGTCACACCTGCACCAGGCCATCCCCATGCCAACCCCATCACCACTCTTCCCATGGAGGAAATGCCCAGCAATGCACCAGTGACTCCAACCTTTACAGCTCACCAGCTCTGGCAGGCCAAGGAAAATGAATGACAGTAAGCTGGGAGCACAGACAGAACAGAAATATTTTAGCAAGGGGCTATTTTAGCAAAAGTCAGGTCTCCAAGCCACCAACCAGCCCTTCTCCCTTTAATGCAACACAGCATTAAAGAGTCAAATTAGAAAATAGAGAAAAAACACAGATAACAAGCCAGCTGCTTAATTTTGTGGGGAAACGGAGAATAAATACCTATTTGGAGTGGTATTGGGTTCACTTGGTATAAGAGAGGGGCAGCATAGCAGGGCTGCATGGCTGCCTCCATGGGTTTCCCCCAGCAGCTGTGGATGCAGATGGTCTCATTTCTCCTTTTTCATTCTACTACAGCAGAGTCTGCACTTCCCTCGAATTTTACAATTCCTGTTCTTTCACAGGAGTATTTATAGCAAAAGAGCAAAGTGCAAATGTAACCACTCGAGCTTTTGCATGTCTCTACACATTACATTTAAAAAGAGAAAGAGTTTACCAGAAATCCATACACTAAATGCTGTCAGAAGCAGGCAGTTGCATGGTGCCGAGTTAGCTGATGATCTCAAGTCTTCCACCTAAAACTGAGAAAGCACCTGAAAAAAAGCCTGGCACAGTGGTTTTAATCCTACGCCTCTGATCGCCAGTGCAACCATGGCCACCTACAATCAACCCTTTTGTTCTTTGGATGGGTAAGCAAGTGTGAAATAGTTGCTGGCATAAATCTTGCCCCAATACTGCAAGAATGTCAAAATTGCATGGAAAAAGTTGAAAAATACACCTAACTCGGCCATGAGGCTGGGATGGAGCCAGGGCCACAGCCAGGGCACGCTAGACATTGGCTTGACAAATGCTGGGGGGTTCATAGGAGAGGAGTGACAGAGTGAGCCCGAGGAACGTGCCAGAAGCTCTTTATTAGAAATTCCAGAGTTACACGCCCCTATGGACATGGCGTGCCGGGTGGGAATGACAGAAGGTGGCCAAGCTCCGGCTCAGGGCAGAGTGCTGGCTGGACCCCACAGCTGGGTCACTAACCAGCGCCCGCGGCAGGCGTTATTTAAGGGCAGACAATAGAGAAAAGAAGCCAGACATGAACAGCGTCTCTGCAGCTACACAGGTGATTTTGGGGGGGGAAGGGGGAGGGAGGGGCAGGGAGCTCTAATAAAACAAAAATGCAGATTACTATGGGGACAAGAGATTGATGGGAGAACAGCATTCAGGCAACAGCATGAGGTTATTTACCCTCCCCACGCCCCACGTACCTGCCTGCACACTTCTGAGCACAGCTGGAGTTCTCTCAACAGTTACAGTCTCCCATACCCGAACTAAATTAATTACTACTTTTAACAAGATGTGTTATAAAATGAGAGACACAAACACAGGAAAAAAAATTAGTGTGGATCTACATTATTGCTTTTTAAATTGTCGCTAGAAAAATACTCTAATTATAAAAATAATTTGCATGTAAGCACAGAATAAGCAGTACAACTCTCTGTCAGTCTTGTATGTTGATTTTTGAACTCTTTGTTAAAAAGGCTTGTTAAACATATATAATTTCTCAATATATATCAATAGCGTGTATATAATTTAATATAGAAATGACAAATATGCAATGTAAAACAGTAAATTACAAGTGGTGAATACATCCTGTAAATATCATTACAGAAATGCACAGTTATGGCAGATCGCAACTTCAACCTCTGAACCACCGGCTACAGGAAGACATTTGTAGCCCGCTAAAGTCAGTATTATTTTCAATCCCTTTAAAGTTTTCTGTTAATATGCAATGTTTGTATAAATATACTATTAAAACTTTTATATATATACACACACGCACACAGAGAAAGATTTTTTTTTTATTATGTGTATATATAAAATCACTTACTTAATGGAAAGACCCTCCAATTATATCTGCATAACCACAATCTGGATCTAATTTGGCATTTTTCCCCTTTAAAAATTAATTTAAGGGAGGCAAATCCTGACTCCCTGCACAAAATACAACTGGGTGCCTCCAGTTCAGCACAAAGCTAGGGCAGTACTAGCTTGTAGCCTTTGATTCTTTTGACAGGGGTTTTTTTTTTTTCCTTACACTAGCACGGATTTTTAATTAAAGAAGACAATTCAGAGAAGCAGAATCAAAGCTGAAACTTTTTCAACTCCTCTTAAAAAGCAGGAAAACAAATCCGCAGATCTCTGATTCTTGACACCTCAGGTTTTACACTTCAAAAACCTCTGTCAAGAGAAGCCAACGTAAGGAAGAACGCAGGCATGGCTCCCTGGAGTTCACCAGCAGTTGCTACAATAATTTTTCAAGGTAGCTTTTGCTAGATAACGCACTTCTAAATGTGCCTGTGCATAAACACATGCTACCAACACAGGTACACCCTCCCTCCCCACATATATAATTTAAAAAAATGTAAACCAAATGATGTTCAATCAATCAGGTTTCTACACCTTTGCCTCGGCTCTGTCAGCGAAGCTCAGGCAACTTTGGTCTTGTTTGCATTAACTTGGAAAGTGAAACCGGGACCCGCTCCTGCAGAGGACAAGACCCCGGGCTCACCCTGCCTGTCCCACCGCAGGGACGCTGGCACAGTGCTTGTGGGCTCGACACCCAAGACCCCATTCCCTTGGACAAGAAAGAAGTTAATTCAGTTTGAAACCTCGCTTCCTAATAAAGATAGGGAACAGAAGAAATGCTTTAGAAAGCTTAAGAAAACGTTTATACGCTTGGTAAAAGAACGGCCGCTCTTACACAGTTAATAGCTGGTACCTTACAGAGTATTTGCCTATGCGCCCGCCAGTGGCTGGCTTTGCCCAGGAGGGCTGTGGAGGAGCTGCTGCTCTCCTATAATAAAATGCAGGTCTTCTTGTCCTTGAAAGGGTTCTCGGAAGCGGGTATGCCCATTAGCAATGGATCTTTCTTGGCGTGTTCTTCACAGTAGAGCATTAGGTCTGCTGATGCTTTTGACACCTGCAGAAGACAGGGGGGAAAAAAACCCAACAACCCATAAAATGCTATTTCCCCATAAGTGGTTACACGATCAAACGTGCTGAGAGCTGCTAACAGGTACAAAGTCCCCGTGAGGGACAGAAGAGGTGCTCAGAGATCAACATGCTCTCTGGGCCCAGGCCGCCTGTGAAGCCGTGGTGCCACTGGCTCGCTCCGGCTTCATCTGCAGGGAGGAGAAAAGGATGGACCCCAGCGCTCTCTGGGGCTAGTTTGTGACATCAGGCAAAAGTACCGCTCCGTTTCTATACAAAGTCTTCTACAGAAGACTAAAAACAAACAGGAGAAGGTTCAAAATAATACAGTAGGTTTGTAATGAGGAATTTCTCATCTATAAGGTTGGGGACAGTAAATAGAAGTGTCCTCAGATAACAGTTGTTTCGGGAACGCTGCACAGGGTCCCTTCTCGCACAGCCCTGCTCCTGACCCTTGTCACCTGAGGAAGGACACTGCTGCTCTGTGAATCTGGGTGTTTGTTCTGCTGGCCTTCAAAAGGGGCTGGGCAGCAACTCAAGCAGCCTGATGAAATCTAAAAGGCAGTATTACTAGTGTAGCCAATATCCTTACCCCTGCTAGCTGGAAAAAAAGCTTGGTTTCTTTTCTGCCTTAAGTTAAAGGAATATGGTTTCTGCTACCTTTTTTTTTTTTTTTTTTTTTTTTTAATAATGCCCCTAAACATTCATCTTCCTTGCACATGTAGCATTCAGCCAGACGAAGGATGGAACAAAATCACACAATTAACACAACATGCATGAAACTGGAAACTCATACCTGCCTTCTGCTTCACACATTTGATCTGCACTTTGTATTTTGTTTTGGTTCTCCTACAAGTCCATAAACACTGAGCTATCTGAGGATACTGCTGGTAAGTGGCCACAAGAATTAGATTTATTCAGATTTGTTGGGCTGAAATGTAAATGTCAAGTTCTGAGACGGGGAAAAAAAATGAACTGTGGGCACACACATGCACACACACGCTCCCTTATCTAATCACCCTACAGCTGGCAGGAGGAAAAAACCAGGGAAAAAAAAGAGGGGTGAAGAAGGATGTGCTCTCACCTTTATTCTTTCTATTGAGGCTTCTATTCTTAACTGCTGGACAGTCCGTCGGGCCTGGGCTATGTTGTTGGTTGTGCTAGCCGTTTTGCCAGACATTTTCGGTGAAGCTCTGTTTTGAAAGACAGCAGGTTATTTTTCCAGAAGGTGGCACAGCATGTTAAACTGCTTTTACACAGAGGCAACCGTGACATGCTGCGAAAAGTGCTTTTTTTTAATTATTATTTCATACAACAGAACTGGTCAGCTGAGAAGCAGCTCAGCAAACGATGCTCTGCAACCAAAACACTCTCCAGAAAAAATGCATTGACCTCTTGTGCATCCTGTTGCTTCACTCTTCCCCGTATTAATCGGTGATGTGGATTTATCAACTCATGCTTTTCTCAAGCTGGTGGGCAGCCAGTGCCGCACCACGCGCCCACCCCTACACCTGCCATTTGCACAGGGGCTGGATGCAACATGGCCAGTCTCTGCACCAGCTGCTGCCCCACGGTGGGACCGATCCTGCTGCGTGGGAAGGGCCACTTGCCCCAGGTGGGGCCGGGAGGGAGGAGGGCTGCTTCCCGCCTGCCCGAGCGCTGGGGATGAGAAGTGTCTTCTCTGCTCCTTCTTGCAGGTGGAGGAGGATTTTGTGACTGGTTACTGCCCCTCCACTGGGCCCGCTGCAGCCAGGAGGACAGGCAGAGGCATAGACACATCAGCTGTGCCACCCCAGTTTCTCCGCTTCCTTCAGCCTGCTCCAGCCAGGCTGCGTTGCAGCCCCGCAGCAGCTTTACAACGCATCAGAGAAAAAGGAGAACAAGAAGGCAAAGTTCACAGGCACGCTCCCGGCTGTTGCCTGCTTCCATGTGGCCATATATGGGGAATAGCAGAAAAAAAAACTGAGCAGCTCCAGGACTTTCCTTCTCTGGGTAAGAATGCAAAGCATCAATCCCGACATGGGGACAGCGTTTGGATGGTGTCCAGCGAGAAGGGAGGATGCCCTCAGCCAGGCTCAGCTGGCTGGTCCGGCAGTGATTCAAGCACAGCTTTTGCAGCTTGACCCCTCACTTGCAGCTGCCCATGGGATGCCCACAAGCAGCACGAAGGCAGCATGTGCTGCCAGCTTACAGGGAAGCCCAGCCCATGCCAGGATGCCACACGCTTCCCTGCGAGTTGGAGCAAGGAAGAACACATGCTCGTGACCCCACCAAAGAGCAAGGAGCAAACTACGATCGTATGTGTCCTATCTTACCCAGACAAGGAAGGCAGCCCACGTGCCAGCTCTGACTCAAGACCAGGTCCAAGAGGACAGGCAGCACCAGTAAACAGTGAAGGGTCAGTTTTGCCGGTACTGGCACTGCTGTCCCTGAGCCTCTTTGCTGCAGGCACTCTGCAACAAAGACCCGAATGAGGTTCCTTCATCACGTCCACAAAAGTATGCATAGTTGCATGCTGTAAATCAGCATTCCACTGGCATTTACACCACTCGGGATTTGGAAGTCTTAACCTCCCAGTGGTCCCAGAAAACCTCAGCTGCTTCAGCTGTACGTAACTCTCACAGCATGCTCAAGCCTGCCCTGGCTTATTGGACCACCATGAACTGTCTCTTCGCCTGTGCCACACTGAAGGCCACCTTGCCCTATCTCCCTGCAGCAAGCCCCCGGCATCCCTGGCTGTTTCTCATCCCGCGTAGCCATGCAATTGCTGCTGCTGGAGGGAAACTACCTGTGCATAGAGCAGCAGGAGCAGGGAAGGGCTGAGGACCGTGCAGCATCACATTCAAAAGAATATCCTTACAGGCATCACAGCAGCAAAGAGCTTATTTCTAAATTATTCAGGTACCCAAGAGTTCAAAGAGCAGCTGGTTTAGGACAGCCCTAGCCCGCGAAATTGTCCTTTCTATGCCAATCCTTGCATGCAATCTCTAGCAGGACCGTACACAAACCCTGACGTTTTTTTTTTCCACAGATCCACAAGAATAATTGGCTCCATGGTACCATGCTTAAATCATTTATTGCATTACAGGGACTCGATTCCTATGTAGCTACATGTGACCTTTCCAAGTGCTGCATGCAGCGTTTCCTTGGAGGCTTCGGGTTTCTCACGCCTCGGCCTGGGTAGCAGTGCTGTTTTTCCAGCCGGTGCTCATGCCTGCCCAGCTAGCTGGGAACAGCATCGTTTTGCACCAGGTCCCCATTTCAGCACATGCCCTCATTTCTAGGCTGCTCATCAGGGCCCAGATTTTCAAAATTTTTCTCTCTCTCTGCAGGAGCCAGCACTGGGTTTGAAGTTCACCTCCTGGTACATGTCAGGCCTATGCAGCCCGGCGCTCACGGACAGCACCCATGGCAAACACGGGATGCCCATGAAACGCTACCATACACCCCCCAGCTCTCCTCTGACGGTAGCGCAGGCACCTGAGGGTGCTTTCAGCTGGCCAGGAACCATGCACAGCCAGCAGCAAGCACCCCGCACTGGCATCCTCAGCGTTTTCTGTTAGGAGCAATTCCCCGACCCACACTCCCGCAGCACCGAGCACGCTCAGCTTCCTCTGCAGCCCTGCAACCTACAGGTGAGAAGTGCCACAAGTGGTGTGCTAACTGGTATTTCATGCTTTACAGCTCACGGCTGACTTCGAACATCCCAGCAGTGAATCGCAAATGAAGCAAGCTGCTGTTTTTCTCAGCTACATCCGCACCAGTAACGGCGAGGCCTGGCGAGCGCAGGATCAGGCTGCACGTGGCAAGCGGCATTGCGGAGCAGAGCGAACACCGGCAGAGGTCAGCGGCCCAGCTGCAACGAGAGCAGCGCGGGGATGCTCAGCGAGAGCAGCGCGGGGATGCTGCCGTAGCTGGGGCGCAGCCAGCAGGGGGGCCCCGGG